AAAAAAAATACATATTTTTATTGCTTCCAGAGAGGAAGGGAGAGGGAGAGAGAGAAACGTCGATGATGGGAGAGAATCGCTAATGGGCTGCCTCCTGCACACCCCGCACTGGGGATCAAGGCCACAACCCCGGGCACGTGCCCTTGACCAGGAATCAAACCCGGGACCCTTCAGTCTGCAGGCCGACGCTCCATCCACTGCACCAAACCAGCTGGGCCATCTAACGTCTTAATGTACCTTTCAGGTCTTATTTCCTGCGTGGAGCGTAGACCAGCCCGGGGTCCCATTCAGCCAGGGCTAGACGCTGGCATTTAACATCAGTAATTCTAGAAGCCTTCACAGTTGCACACTTTACCAAGAAACATTTAGAAATTTTTAAAAAACACGTTAAAATGGACCCAGATGAAAGTGGGCACTGGGTTCCGTCCTCGGGGTTCCTCTTGACTCTTGGTAGTTCAGTCTTTTCTAGCGCCAGGCGGCTCGCAGACCCCGTTCCCCCTAAAGGGGACCCCCCCCCACCTGGGCCGTTTCCATTTTCTCACACAAAAGGGTCTTAGGGTTCGACGTCACCGTCCCAGGGATCCCAGTCCTCGTGTGAGATAGAGGATGTGTAGGTCCGTGCTGGTGCATGAACATCCTGGACAGGTTCTTCCTCACTCAGCTCGGGTCTTTCACTGAACTGTGCGCACAGGAAGGCGTCCGCATTCTCTCGAGTGATCATAGAAAATATAGCTAAGCCCGGCCAGGGTGGCTCAGTGGGTGAGCGTGACCTAAGAACCAGGAGGTCACGGGGGTCAGGGCACACGCCCGGGTTGGGGGCTCGATCCCCAGTGTGGGGCGTGCAGGAGGCAGCCGGTCCATGATTCTCTTTCATCACTGATGTTTCTCTCTCTCTCTCCCTCTCCCTTCCTCTCTGAAATCAATAAAAACACATTAAGAAAAAATATATATATATACTAGTATATAGCTGCCACCCCAGGCTGGTTAACATCTATGCCAGTGGTTGTCAACCTTGGCTGCACATTAGAATCGCCTGGGAATCTTTTTAAAATCCTGATTTCTGGGCCTCATCCTCCAGAAATTCTGTTTCTTTGTGATGGGGTGGGGCCACCACATGAGTAACAAAGAAACAGAATTTCCGGAGGAGGAGGCCCAGAAATCAGGATTTTTAAAAGATCCCCAGGTGATTCTAATGTGCAGCCACGGTGGAGAACCACTGATCTATGCCTTGCTTCTCCTCGATGTTTTCCTCACCACTTAGGACATCTGGATGCTCTTGAAAGAAACCCCACTCACCCAGGGTGTAGCCCTGCCGTTGAGAGACGTGGATGAATCCTTGTGTTATAGGGAGTAACCACCACCCGCCTTTCGTGTCTGAATTGGTGCCGCGGGGCCTGCGGGCGCTCACATGCGGCCGTAGGGTTCCGTGTTGATGTGGCAAGAGGAATGAGTGTGTTTTTACCGTCTATTTCAAATGGACGCAAGAGATGTTCTTTGTGGGATGGGTGGGGCTCTGTCTGAGGTACATGTTCTTCATGTGGACGATTTAAAAAAAAAAGGAAGGGAAACCTATAGCATCCCTGGAATGTGTTTGCCAAGCGAATACTTTGGAAAACAGCCCGAGGGACGAGATCTAAGGCTGCGCTTTTGAGGCCGAGCTGAGTGAAGGCTTTATTTAATGCGTCAGCTCAGCGCGCGGACGGCGGTCCTCGCTTCCGGTTCACCTCCAGCTACAGGAGAGGGAACGAAACGTAACAACCGCACAGACCTCACGAGGTTCAAGTTGCATTTTCGGGTTGTAAATTACTGTATGTTTGCAGTGTGTGTGTGTGTGTGTGGGGGGGGTTTGCAATAAAAAAGATATGTTTATTGATTTCAGAGAGGAAGGGAGAGGGAGAGAGATATAAAAAAATAGCAACTATTTCAATATTCGTTAAAAAAATGTTTTCATTGATTTTAGGGGGAGGGATAAAGAGAGGGGGAGGGAGGCGTGGCTCAGTGGTTGAGCGTCGGCCTCTGAACCAGGAGGCCACGGTTTGATTCCCGGTCAGGGCACATGCCCGGGTTGTGGGCTCAATCCCCAGTAGGGGGCGTGCAGGAGGCAGCCGATCCATGATTCTCTCTCATCATTGATGTTTCTCTCTCTCTCTCTCCCTCTCCCTTCCTCTCTGGAAAAAAAAAAAAAAGTCCTTGGGGTTGTCAGCCGGAGCTTAGGGAGCGTGTGAGGTTTAGGGATCCGTGCAGGCCAGCCACCGAATGCCTTTTTGATCCGAGCATAAACTTTTATAGATAAATGTTTTTCGAAAGTCATTTTAATGGGAAAATCCTGGGCAACAAAGGAAGCCCCGCTCTCTGGTTTGCATCAAGCTCCCCGGGCCTGGCGAGGCGGACAGAAGTCTGACATCTGCTCTAATTCAGCACAGCTGGGCCGTCGGCCCCGGCGTCCAAGTCTGCAGGTTTTGATCATGAAGTGAGTTAAGCAAATTGTATCAGAAAGGCTGCCGGCTGGGCTGGCGCTACCGTATCAGACCCGCGTGGAGGGGAAGGAGGGAAGATGGACTTTTCTTTTTTTTAAAAAATATAAGCTTGTTTTATTTATTTTTTATTTTTTTGTTAATCCTCACCCCAAGATCATTTTCCATTGATTTTTAGAGAGAGTGGAAGGGAGGGGGAGAGACAGACAGAGAGAAACGTCGATGTGAGAGAGACGTATCGAGCGGTTTGCCTCCTACACGCGGGGGGGATTGAGCCTGCAACCCAGGTACGGGCCCTTGACCAGAGAGTTTAAATATAGACATTTGCTTTTTGAGCGAATGCAGGAAGAATCATTGGATCGTAGGATATAAACAATTTAAAATTCAGACTGTGCCCTCGGAAATTGCTTTCCCAAACTCTCCCAATCTGTATATAATTTTTTTAAAAAATAGGCAAGGCCGTAGCCGGTTTGGCTCAGTGGATAGAGCGTCGGCCTGGGGACTGAAGGGTCCCAGGTTCGATTCCGGTCAAGGGCATGTACCTTGGTGGCGGGCATATCCCCAGTGGGCGGTGTGCAGGAGGCAGCTGATCGGTGTTTCTCTCTCATCGATGTTTCTGGCTCTCTGTCTCTCTCCCTTCCTCTCTGTAAAAAATCAGTAAAATATATTTAAAAAAAATAAAAATAAATAAAAAATAGGCAAGGATTATATGTTTTGGGGAGAAACGCAAAGCCATATTTTAAACGACTTGATTCAGCTTTGATTTATACGCGTTTTAGCCTCAGAATGAGGAGGGAGCCATTTGATGCCCTCAGGCCCCCTGCTCTGAGTCTGTGTGGAGGCTGAGAGCTGGGAGGCCGGACCTGCACGCGCCGCTGGGTGAATCGCAGATGCATTCATGGCCCCGCGAGAACCTGTGGCTTACACGTGGTCTCTTCCCCGCTCTGGCCAGGATCCGCACGCCCTTTCCGCAGAGCTGGGCGAGAAATGCGAAGCCATCGGCAAGAAGTTGCTGTGCCTGGAGGATCAGCTGCACACGGCCATGCACAGCCTCGATGAAGTCCTCATTCATATCCTTCTCGCTCGTTCGTTCTCGCGGATGAACCGCCCGCCAGGTGGTTCTGTAAACGCAGGTCTTAGAACAGCGGTTCTCAACCTGGGGGTCGCGACCCCTTTGGGGGTCGAACGACCCTTTCACAGGGGTCACCTAAGACCATCGGAAAACACATAGATAATGACATATTGTTTTTGTGATCCATCACTATGCTTTAATGGTGTTCGATTTGTAACAATGAAATTGGGGTTCACCACAACAGGAGGAACTGTATTAAAGGGTCGTGGCATTAGGAAGGTTGAGAACCGCTGTCTTAGAAAATGCCCCGTGATTCCAGGCCTGGGCAGGTGCGAGAGCACAGGCCCGGCTGCTGTTTCCAGGTGAGCTCAGGTGTCCGAGGGGATGTACATGCATCTGGGGATCGAGCCCGCAACCCGGGCATGTGCCCCGACCGGGAATGGAACTGCGACCTCCTGGTTCATAGGTCGATGCTCAACCACGCCACGCCGGCCGGGCAACCCCTAAGTCTACGGGGGCTAAATGAGGCTGCATTCAGGAAGTAGGCTGGACACGGTCCTTATATGTGGCCAGTGCTTGGTTTCAGGTACAAAACTAGATCCTCCACATCCATTTGTGCCCCCCCCTCGCCCCTCCATGCTCAGCATCTCTGTCACAACCTCAAACCACATCCTGGTAGAGGTTTCAAGGGAAGTCGATGCAACTCTTTTGAACCAAACGCTTAAAGGGATTGATCAGTGGCCGCACCGCGGTTTATCTAAAAAGCCATTTAATTCTAATAAACGGCTGTGGGTCGATAGGGGTTCCGATCCCTCCTGGCTGGCTGAGAAAACGGAGGCTGAGACATCCGGTGGCTGGTCCAAGGTCACGTCTACCCAGTGGCAGCATCTCCCAGCGACAAGCCCGGGCCCTGCTTGGACCACCAGGAGGCAGAAGCAAAAGGAGGGGCCCCTCTGGGGGACACACAGTCACTGTCCACATTTCAAGCTCTAATCAAAGCATTTTACTGAAGTTTATTTCTTTAAATCCTCCCCCGAGGATATTTTCCCATAGATTTTTAGAGAGAGTGGAAGAGAGAGGGAATGACAGAGAGAAACATCGATGTGAGAGAAACAGCGATTGGTTGCCCCCTGCACGTGCCCCGACCAGGGCCTGGGCCGGGGAGGAGCCTGCAATCAAGGTACGTGCCCTTGACCAGAATCAAACCCGGGACCCTTTGGTCTGCAGGCCGATGCTCTATCTACTGAGCCAAACCGGCCAGGGCTTGAAGCCCTGTTTTTTTTTTGACAATGTTGCTGATCCTTGCTGAGATAATTGGGGACATACAGGGGCTGGTTTCGGTACTGAAGTCAACCCCTCCCTGGCAGATAAAATCTCCACCACCTTCTGGCTTTTAACCTCGACTCTTCTCTGAAGCCCGGTTTGGTCCATAGATGCACAGAAGGTAACCTTGACCTCCGGGGAAGCGCTCCATGGCGAGCTCTTTAAGGAGCATCTCGCTGAGTTCAGTTTCTCTCTCTGAAAACCTTTGTCATCACTCGGGGTGTTACCCACAGGGCGTGTCGCCCCGGCCGTCTAGCAAAGGTCATTAGTTTGTCGGGTTCCGAAACGGCTTCAGTTCTGTGCTTTACTCGCATAACCTTGCGATCCGGGTGCAGCGTGGGGCCCAGCCTGGGACCACGTGCGCTCTGGCTGGTCTCGTCATGTGCGACGAGAAATGGAGGCAAACGGAGTCGTTAAAAAAGTACCCGGTTCTTTCTTCCTTGCACCCCCTGGGCCCCACCCTCCTTCCCCTGAAGTTCTGGTGCCAGGAGGGAGCCGGTCCAGGAAATGCATGCAAATGGCACACGTGATGGCGGCCGGGGAAGCGCCAAGAGAATGACAAGCTGCCAACAGCCTTGCAGGGTGGCTCCGCATTTGATGCTGAGGAGAGGCTCATCTGCATAATTCCCAGGCTCCTCTGCTGCTGCTTATTTTCTTAGAAAGAGAAGCCTTTGAACATCACCACCTAAGGTTGTCTTTTCCTCTTGACGTTGGGCCGACATTGCCCTTAAACAGACGGCCGGCGGGAGCTAAGACCCCGGAGCTGCCTGTCCCAAAGCTGGTGGCTCTCCGCATGGGACGGAGCCATAACCACGTGGTCTGACCTCATGGGGTGACCTCATGGTGATTCAGTGGCGTCCACATATTTCTCTGTTTTCGCTTTGCTCCTGTTGGGTGAGGTTCAATTCGTTTGCTTAGATGAGAAGAATCCAACCCGCCTCTCACCTGTGTGTATCGGAGCTGTTCCGGGAGCAGGTGGAGCGGGAAGGGCACAGGGAGGGACTGAGGTCCAACCCGCCTCTCACCTGTGTGTATCGGAGCTGTTCTGGCGGCAGGTGGAGCGGGAAGGGCACAGGGAGGGACTGAGGGAGAGAAACCACCACTGGTTCATGCTCCCCCAGCCCAGCACCGGAGACAGCCCCTTGCTTCTTTTTAATTTTATTTTTAAAACATATTTTTATTGATTTCAGAGAGGAATGGAGAGAGAGAGAGAGAAATATCAATGATGAGAATCATTGATCAGCTGCCTCCTGCACACCCTCCACTGGGGATGGAGCCTGCAACCCAGCATGTGCCCTTGGCCAGAATCGAACCCGGGACTCTTCAGTCCCCGGGCTGATGCTCTATCCATTGAGCCACCCCGGCGAGGGCTGCCTTTTCCTTTCTTAAGGCCCCACTTGAGACCGTTGGCAACCCCAGGCCGTGGAGAGATTGCTGTCGCTCTTAAACGAAGTGTCAAGTGCGCATTAATATTTAACGCCTGCGATTTGGAAGAGCTGGAAACTGCAATTAGATAGCCGTGCCCATCTGCCGCCGCCCGCCCGCTGGCCCGCGCGCTCTTCCGAGGCCGGAGGGTTCCTTAACCGCGGCCACAGTCCCTGCGGAGCGAGCTCCTCCTGGTGAAGGAGACCCTGCAGGCCATGATCCTGCAGCTCCAGCCCCCCAGGGAGGCGGGGGAGAGCGAGGTGGCCTCCTGGGCCACAGCTGGTGTGCGGGAAGCGCAGGCCTGAGGCGTGCGGGACGCGACAAGGGAAGGAGGTGAGTGACCGAGTCACATATGCGAAAGCTCAGGGGCAGGGGCCGCTCTCACCTCCCTGCGTGCCCCCTGGGCCTGGGTCGATGGCGGAGACCCAGAGCCTCCAGGTCTCCCAGGACAGAGGTGGCCAGGCCGGCTCTCCCGAGGCTGAGAGGGGTCCCCAGGTGGGAATGTGCAGGGAGGGGGGGCACCGGCTGAGTCTCCTCCTAAATGTCACTGGGAGGCACCTCCCCGAGTCAGCAATGGGAGCATCCTGCCCAGGATGTGGAAGTCTTTTCCTCGGAGCCCCTTTCTGCAGAAGTCGGGGTGAGCTCTCCCGGAGACGGGGCGCTTTCCCTGTCCCGTCTGGCTTTCTGTGGCGATTGAAGTATCTCCTGACCCGAGAGCCTGTGAAAAGGAAACGAAGCGTAGATGCATCTCCTGCTATTCCGTCCCTCCTTCCCGCAGACGCGCAATCGACGGAGCTGATGGACCCCAGGTCCGGGATGAGCAGCTTTTCGCCGTCCGTCTGTGCTTCACGTGCATCTCCGAGCTCAGATGAAAACCCCTGAAGATTTCCAGGGAGCAGCCTATCAGTGGGCAGCATTTCCGCTTTCTTCTTTTTTAAAAATATATATTTATTGATTTCAGAGAAGAAGTGAGAGAGAGAGAGAGAAACATCCAGGATGAGAGAGAATCATAGATCGGCTGCCTCCTGCACGCCCCCTACTGGGCATTGAGGCTGCAACCTGGGCATGTGCTCTGACCGGGAATCGAACCCTGACCTCCTGGTTCATATGTTGACGCTCCACCACTGAGCCACACCGGCCCGGCAGCATTTCCATTTTCTACGTGGCAACGCCTGGCTCCTGGCACCTCCTCGGGGCCCTGAAATCCTCCCACAGTGGGCACAGGAAGGGAGCAGTTAGCCTGCTGCCCACCCCAGGACCATGGCCGGGCTCGAGGGTAGGCATGGGATTGGCCTAAGACCTGGGTGATCAGGATGCCCGTTAATTCTCGTGTCAACTCAGGAGGTAGGAGTCACAGATGATGAAACTGGGCCGGAGGAGACCAATGGGCTTTGTCCGAGACACAGCGCTGGTCAGCGAGGGAGCAGGAGTGACGGGGACCGGCGGGCGCTCTTAGCGGGTGCTCCTCACCAAGTGCCTTCCGTGGCTTTGGGGGACTGTGAGACACGGGGCTTGTTTTGTTCACATAAGAATGATGTGAGCCTGGGAACCTGGGCTTCCCACCTCCCCTGTGGACCCCCTGTTCTGTGGCCATGGCTCTCGGGTTTCAACACAGCTGCCCACCCGCCCGTCCTAACTAGCCATCCATTCCCCGTCCACCACGAAAGCCACGGCAGCAACAACCACTACTGCCTCACACTGGACAGATTTTCTTTTCTTTTTTAATACGTTTTTTTTATTTTATTGATTTCAGAGAGAGGAAGGGAGAGGGAGAGAGAGAGAAACATCAATGATGAGAGAGAATCATGGATGGGCTGCCTCCTGCATGCCCCCCACTGGGGATCGAGCCTGCAACCCAGGCATGTGCCCTGACTGGGATCAAACCGTGACCTCCTGGGTCATAGGTCGACGCCCAACCACTGAGCCACACCGGCCGGTCCTGGAAGATTTTCTTGAAAATCCCCATCCAATTGGTGTTTCCAGAAAGCAACGTTGTACTCCTTGGTCAATGAGTGCCTGCTTGTCTAAGCAATTTAATACTTGATTGTGAATACCCTCACCTTACCCAATCTTTGGGTTTTTGTCAATAATTTATTGCCCCATGAAGATGACTCTTTTGTTATGTGAAATTAAAACTGATATCCCACTCCTAGTGCACTATTAACATTTTTTTTTTGTCTTCTGGAGGAAAATAGAAAAAAATGTATCAGGTTAATTCATCTCATCTTTTTGTAACAGGATGATTGATTGGACAGGACCATCTCCCACAAAACCTCTCTAATAAAGCAACGCTTTACAATGGTGTCTATGCTTATTTTCTGATATCAACCAATCACAAAACAATGTATTTATCTATTCCTGACCCCTGGATTGAGGACCTTGAAAATAACATTACCAGTTATGTGGGGGAGAGCCAAAGTGGCCCACTCACACCACTGGAAGTATTTTCTCTGGAGATACTGGCTAAGTCAATTAGGCAAGAAAAATAAATGAAGGTTACAATTTGGAAAGGAGGAGATACATTCATATTTACATAACTGTAGGCCAGAAACCCCAGGAGAACCAACAGAAAACTTTTTACATAGTGAACACGCTGAGTATAACAAAAATCAACCGGTTTTACCTCTGCAGACCGTAACCAGAAGATAAAAAACAAGAAACACCCCATTGGAAATAACACAGATAAAAAGCAGACAGCTAGGAATAAGATGACATGGAAAATGTGTATTGTCTCAGATGAAGAAAAGACACACGAGGTGTTTGGGTAGGAAGGCACCATTAATTGTCCAATCTCTATAAATCCTATAGAATAAAAGCCCAATATGCAAATCAACCGAACGGCAGAACAACCGGTCGCTATGATGTGCACTGACCACCAGGGGGCAGACGCTCAGCGCAGGACTTGAACGTTTTGTTTACGACCGGATCCGTGGAGAAAGGAAGTCCTGTGTCAGCTCCTGGCCAGGGTCCTCGGGGTGACTTCCTTCCACCGAATGTTCCCCTGAAGCTGCTGCAGAGCGCCTCGCCTGGGGCGGGGTGCAGACGCGTCCCCGGGGCGAGGGCTGGGAGGAAGGCAGTGGCGGGTCCAGATGGCACCAATTAGCTCTTTGAGGGGGGCATTTGCAGGGAATATGCTCACAGGGAGAAAAACTAAGGAGCCCCTGGGGACTTTAAACAATCTGGGGCCTCGGATGGGAAACGGAGGCGGTCACCGGAGAAGGAAGCTGGCGGCAGGAAGGTCATGGGGGCAGGGACAGGAGCAGGCAGGGACAGTTAGACTCGGCTGGTAGAGGTCATCTACGCCAGATCTGCCCATAGCCCACTCGCACCTACTCCCGGCCAGTCTCATCACCAGACAAGCCACATTAGTATGATTCAAAGTGACGATCACTCCTGATCATTTACACCGGAATCTGACTGCCTTTACTATTATAACACGGGCCGGCCGGTGTGGCTCAATGGTGAGCACTGACCTATGAACTAGGAAGTCACAGTTCGATTCCCGGTCGGGGCACATGCCCCGGTGTGGGGTGTGCAGGAGGCAGCCGATCAGTGATTCTCTCTCATCATGGATGCTTCTATCTCTCTCTCTCCCTCTCCCTTCCTCTCTCTGAAATCAATAATAAAAAAAATTAATTTAAAAAATCGTTAGGAATCTTTAGTAGAACGGGGCTGAGGACAAAGTCCTTGACTAGAGACCGCCCGCCTGTGGCGTGTGATTCATTGCTAATGGGAGGTATAGCCTTGCTCCCTGGGGTCACTGGGGGTGCCTGGGGTAGGGCTCCTTGGGTTCACTGTGCCGTCCGGACCCCCCAGCCTTTCGAACAAATCAAATGGAGCGAGCTCAGGGCAAGGACCGGGGGCACATTCCCCATCCGGGCGACTCACTGTCCGTGGGCACATACATCCCTTTCTTTCCCCTTAAGGAGTCTGCCCGCCGCCAGGGGTGCTGGCGAGGCCCTCGGGGATCGCGGGCGGAAGCAGGTGTGACCTGGTCAGGTGTCGCTCTGCCCCACGTGCCCTTCCGTGCCCTCTTCAGCCTGCTCCTGGGGCTGGCGTCTGCTCCATGCTATTCTCACTCACCCTCCCGAGAGCCAGCCAGCCATCTGTGCCAGGTGAGTCCTGGGGCGGACACACAGCCTGAAAGTGTGTGTGTGTGTGTGTGTGTGTGTGTGCGTGTGTGTGTGTGTAACTGTGAGTCCGTGTGTGTCTTTGGAAGGGGGCAAAGCGAAGAGGAGGGTGTAAGGGGACTCCCGCTGGCCTGGTTTGCACAAAGCATATCCTTGCACAATCAGCAGATTCCCAGCAAGCGCCATTGGCGTCTGACCTTGAAGAAAGAGGCGGGCCGGCCCCTGCGCTTGCACCTTCTGGGAAGCTCCAGGTGGCACCTCCTGCCTCTTGTGCTGTCAGCGGCGTCCCCCAGCCTGTCCTGCCCCTCCTGGCGCCGAAATGCGGTCCCATCCTCAGCAGCCCTGCGGGGAAGGGCTGGGGCTGCAATGGATTGTGGGAAAATCAGCAGGAGGAGGAGAGGGCCCGGGTCTGAGGGGAATGTCCAGGGAGACCCGATTCCTTTGGCCTGAGACCTCAGCTCCCCGTGTCCCCGCCCCCAGTCCCGCAGGCTAAGGTGCGCGTTCAAAATGCACAATTACGCAAGGTCACCTAAGAAAGTGCTTAGAAAATGTTAAAGCTTTGGCCCTGGCCGGTGTGGCTCAGCGAATAGAGCGTCGGCTTGTGGACCCAAGGGTCCCGGGTTCGATTCCGGTCAAGGGCACCTGCCTCGGTTGCAGGCTCCTCCCGGCCCCGGCCCTGGTCAGGGCACGTGCAGGAGGCAACCCATCGATGTGTTTCTCTCACATCGATGTTTCTCTCCGTCTTTGCCTCTCTCTTCCACTCTCTCTGAAAATCAGTGGGGAAATATCCTCGGGGGAGGATTGCCAACAAGAAGAAAATGTTAAAGCTTTGTCTTCATGCTGCCATGCTTTTCCAAGGGGAACAATTGCTTGGTTTCAGCTGCATGAAATATTCGAGTGTCGTCCAGAGGGCTTCTCGCACTGTCCCGCCTCCCGTGGTCACAGGATGAGATGGGACGGTCCAGCCGAGAGCAATATTGCGATTCTGATATCAGCGGCCGCGTGCCTGTGGCTTCACCCCCACCCGCGTGGCCTGGCTTTCCTCCGGGGGAGTTTTCTGAAAGATTCCACGGGTGTAGGTATTGCTTGTCATGATTTGGGGATTATCTATCTGTCGGGCAGTCTTGCTGGTTTGCTGATTGCGGCGACTCAGGTGCGCAGCTCGCCGGGCTCTACGGGACAGACTGCGGGTAGTCGCGGCCTCGCGGTGACCGGATGCAGTGGCCCGGGTGTCATACTGTCGCTAATTGAAAGATGCTCTTTTCAGGGAGCTGATACCTGGATATCAGAGGGCTGCCGGGCTGCCTTTCGAGCCTGGTTTTCAGCGGAGGCGAGGGGATTAGCGGGCCTCTGCAGCCCGATAACCTGTTATCTCAAAGGCATATGTCTGGCGGGCAGGACAGCGGCGTGCTATCCGGGTTTAATTTTTTCACACAAAGGGCGTTCTGCAAAGTCGTCTTTGTCACCAGGAGACAGATCAGGGCCCTAATGCTGGAGACGGTTGGACTCCTTTATCGCCATTTTTCAATTATCTGCTCTCCCCTTCCCCCCGCCAACCCCAACTCTCTCCTCGCCATTTTCTCCATTCTGTCCTGTTATTCGGTTTCTCCCCTCCAAGTCTCTTTCCCTCCATTCTTTCGTTTAATCCTGCTCCCAATTCTCTTTGTATTTCCCATTCCCTTTTTGATGTCTGTCCTCGCTCAAAGCCCCAGGCTGCCGATAGGAGCCCAGCGTTCCGGATCCGAGTAGAGTGGGATCTGAAATAATGAGGTCGGGCTAACGATCACGTTTACTTCTGTCGTCGGGCGCTGCGCCGCGGCGGGTCTGCCCCGGGTGCGGGTCT